ATTATATTCCCCTTAAATGAAATTTTGTACTATATATATACTTTTCTATAACTACTCCATTCGTCCTGGCATGGAATACACAGAGTACTATGACTTCTAAAATATATGCTGAAATATAAAGTATTCTATATGCCCATGCTTAAATTTAACAAAGTTTATTAAAAATGAAACCATAGTTTGAGGAAGAAACACCTTAATTGGGTTTAATCCGTGGGTACATGCATCATTTGAGTATATTTTGTTAAGTCAGCTTAATTTTTTTAGAATGTATTATATTATAGGACAGAGCGAGTATATACTATGAGCATGTGTTTTGGTTAAGTATGACAAAGCATTATTAATAGCACGTCGTAGATGCTAGCTTAACCATGACTTTTCATCTCTTCGGTCTATGTAATTGCTTTTCTTGTTATAGATGTTTCTTGCTATTGTAGATGTTTTTACATATTTTACATGATTATCTGTACACGTAGACTAATCAATGTTTGATTTTATTCACTTCAGCTCAGCTAGCGGGGAACTTGTTTGGAATTTGGATATGAATCATCTGGACCATTTTGAAAAGGAGTACTTAGCAACTTGGGAAACTTGATGCCATCATCAGCTGTTGTCCACAAGATGAAGGAATATATTAAGATATCCCATACTTCCCAGTCAAATCTAATTAGGCGTCGCCTGCAATATTGATTAGTCTTGGTGCTCTTGGAACGATGGGATTTTGTTTTCAATAATGGTGAATTCTCTTTAATTATAATCTATGTATTTGTATTCGTTGCACTTTTTCATCTTTTCCTGTTAATGATGACAGTGATAATGTTTCATATTATCCTTGACAAGCACCGCATGGGTTTTATTATCAGTGATGTTAGTTAAAGTACCACTCGAGAATTGGCATATATTGCTTCGCTGTTTTTTCATGTTGTGAATGTTGATCATCACATATGGAATCATCTGAAAATTTAGCTTCCTTTGAAATTTTGGTGGTGACGGAGGATGACACCGTCTCATGTTGCAGCAGGCCTACGATTCCTTTATTATTTCCCAGGAAATATAAATGTGCTTATAGTGTGATTGGCCACTTATGTGCTCTACTACTTAGCCATGTCATATGTAGCTCGGATGAAAAAAAAATGCAATATTAGTGTTGAATGTTGATGTTACCACCAACTTGAAATTATAATGAAGTAGATCTCGATAAATTTTCAAGCTAATTATTTGATCCAAATTACTGGGATTCAATCAGTTCCAAAATGGCTGAAGTTTTAGTGAAATGGTCCTAGGGAAGAAATGCTATATAGTGAAATGGACTATTATTTTGATATGAAGGTTAAATCAGATTATGGACACATGTTTTAATAAAAATAATCAGAAGAGATGTTTTCAAGAAATATGTGTGTATCGGTTTTACATCTTGTAGTTGGTATAGGGTCTAAATATAATATAAAATTTGGCACATTAGTGCCCTGAATTTCTAGGATGGTCGTGTGGCCAGGGCTTTTATTATTGTTTGGTGACTGCAAAATAGCAGTATATACTTTCCACAGGTTGAAATATGCCAATGGTTATGATATAGCCGAGCTGCATGGGTAGAGAAGCTGCAGGTCAGAATGTGATTGTCATGAATTTGAAACACATAAGTTTAGAAAATATTCTTTGACCAACTGCATACAATATATATCATCCAGTTGTCTGTGATCTATTCTATCTGACGTGATTTGATGATTAGAGTTGTACCTCAGAATTTGGGACCCTTTATGAATTGAAAATGGTCTTTACGAACAAATCCAACTACAAATACATATAGCCAAAACAATTTCCTTTATTCAATGCAATTAAAATTGTAACATAACACAAAATTGGCGGTCAATTTTTTTTGTGAAACAATATTTATGTGTACATGCACTGGTCTGTCCAGGAAAATATTAAACAGAAGTTCTAATCCCAAGGATTGAATCACAACAGTGATGACATATTCATGCAATATAAGAAAGAAAATATTTTCATATCCAAATTGGCACCAATCTCTACAACGATGCCACTATTTTTTTCATATTTGTTTTGGTTTTCTTTATTTCTTCCCTGTTTTTTTTTGTTTTACTTTGATTGGTGGTGTGTTTTTTAATCGATTATCACTGGAACTACAAGGAATACTCTTTATACCTATTTATTAAAGAAATGGAGATCATCATGATGTATATAACATATCTAGAAATATTTCCATGAGTAGCGTGGTGAAATAAATCTTGATTATTATTCCATTACAGTATTGCATCTGGTTCGCTCATTTATCAAGTATGTCATTTATAAGATAACCATCTTCATTAAGGGTTTGTTTGACTGCACTTCAATTCATCCCATCCACATGTATTGGGGTGGATTGGCGTGGAAAACTAACTATAATTAATTTTCCACCCCACAATACTCGTGGATTTGGATGGACTAGAGTGCAGCCAAACAATAAGACCTCAATTTGTTTTGTGGCACTCATGTTATTTCATAATCTAGTTATCCAACTGCATCTAATCTTCACGAGGAATGTAGATGTCCAATAATGCAATTGCTAGGATGATACATCATTTTTAATTTGCCCAACCAAATGTGAGCAACACAACACATAGCACACTACTCGGTGCACATACATGACCTATTTTAAGTGGTGGTATGGCTCACAAACATTTCATAGTATTTGGTGCATGTAGAATAAAGATACCCAAAAAGCTACCCAAAGCGTGCAGAATATAGAGGGTTGAGTTTAAAAGTTCTGTGTGCATCGAGTATATGTCAACGTGCATAAAAGATCAGTAAACAACGGGTAAATTTAACTTTCTACACAATTATCGGAATTGGTGTCCGGATGCAAATCTTTCCAGAAAGAGGAATCAACTTGATGAGGTTTTGTATGGAGCTTTAATACCTATTAGCTTGCAACCGAGACATTGGGTTATACCAACACTATAATTTGTATGAACAAACCAGACAATTCCTTGTTTGACATCATATTTCACCTCATTTGGGTTTGGCTAACCAAATTTCACTTTTTTGTTGTTGTCAGGTAGAGTTACAGTCACCAACAACATCTGAAGTTGGATACAAACTAGAAATTTGTAGTGTGATGATGAAACTGTTGGGAGATGATAGTATAGTTTTCTAGTGTGAGAGGTTCGTGTACTAACCTATCTCAATTTGAAATATCTGCATGCTACTAATAACAGAACACAACTGAACAAATGTATCATTGCCGGCCTTCCTCAATCACAATCGCACAATAAGTGGTAGCAAGGCTGATTTTTTTCTTCAACTTTGAAAACTGTTGGGGCCCTTTAGCTTTCCAAGGCTATATATTTGCTGCTTGATATTGTGATGATATCCTTTCTCCCCAACATAACTTTTTTTTACAACGAAGACATGCACACATTGCTATACACAAATTTTACTCACACATGGCAATATGGATCGGACCATCAATGCAAATCAGGTCACTTGCACATACAAGGTCTTAATTTAGTTATGGTTCCCAGATTGTTTGTATAGGTCTTGGAATCAATATTGTGCGGAAGCAATGGTTGAAATAATAGTCATTTGCACCATTTGAGATATAAAAATATTCAAGAAATATGAGGAAAACATTATTCACCTGAGCCACACCCACACCCCAAGTCGCACACTCTTTTCCACAATTTTTTTTGAACCTGGTGTGCTTCATGCATATGTTCATCGGAATGAAACCCACTAACCCCCACTACTGGAGGCGCATGCTTTGCCGAGGGCCTCTAGCCCTCGGCAAAGGCCCAGAAACCCTCGGCAAAGACCACTCGGGGTATTTTTAGACGGCGAAGGGGTCTTTGCCGAGGGCCCTTTATCGGGCACTCGGCAAAGCCTTTGCCGAGGGCCAGGACGGCCCGCCGTCAGGCGCCGGCGCCGTTGGCGGTTTCTTTGCCGAGAGCCGACCCTCGGCAAAGAAATGGTTTTTTTTTGAATTTGTTTGCCGAGGGCCGACCCTCGGCAAATAAATTTTATTATTATTTTTTTAAAAACCTTTGCCGAGGGCCTCCTCCCTGGCTCTCGGCAAAGAAATTTGCATGATTTTTTAAAAAAATTTTGCCGAGGGCCGGTGTAACATCCTGATGAGCCAAGTGGGCCCAATCCAGTAAATAATGGGCCGGTGTACTGTAGCAGAACATGGGCCGGGTACTGTAGCATCCAAAGCGGGCTACTGTTCACCGAGCACTGTTCATCCGGGGAGTGGACCGGTGAAAAATCGGTGGTACTGTTCATGGGTTACTGTAGCACCACGCAACACTGTGCAGCCAGAGTTTAGTCCCATACTGGAAACTCTGAATTCGTCGGATCAATTTAAATACCAGGGCCAGGGACGCGTAGTAATCTTCTATTAACCGTTTTGAACGAAGCGAGGACAAAAGTTCAAGCGGGTTGCTACGCGGGTCGGACCACTCCTAGGAAGAGTGAGCTGGGGCCATGTATGTCGGGACTGGACGTTACAGCCGGCCCTCGGCAAAGAAATGGTTTTTTTGAATTTTTTTAACCCTTTGCCGAGGGCCTGCTCCCTGACCCTCGACAAAGAAATTGTGAGGATTTTTTTCCAAAAAAATCTTTGCCGAGGGCTATTGCTTGGGCCCTCGGCAAAGGACCCTTCTTTGCCGAGGGCCTTGGTCATTGCCCTCGGCAAAGAGGCAGAAATTTAAATTTTTTTTGTTTTTTGCATTCCATCGACACAAGCATTTCATATATGTACATATATATATATATCAACCATCACATATATATATCACACAGAACCCATTTTCTCACAATATATTACAACGACAAGTCAAATGTTCATCATCATTCACATGTTTATTACGACAAGTTCATGAAATCCAAGCACAAGTCAGAACCATAAACTACAAATATTACAATAAAGTCCAACCACATCACCTAGCACTAGTCCTCAAGATGCCATCCAGTGACCACAAATACATCCAATGACGACAATGAGTACCTCAACTATGTACCTCAAGATGCCATCCAGTGACGACAAATACATCCAATGAGTAGTCATCAATTGTTGAAAATGCATGTGCTTCTTGGATGTCAAGACCGAGCTCGGCAAGCAAACAGGTCAGCTGTAAAATAATGCATAGACGACAGAGTGTCAGGTGGCAAGTAGTTGCCAGTTCACAACAGAAGTTTACTCTGGAAATGGCTTTAATGTATTTTGTTAGTTTCTTCCTACTATTACCAAGTTCTTTGTTAAAACTATTTTTTCATTCATTATGTATTCTGGCTTCTTAATTTACTGAATTTAGTTAGCTCTATTAACTATGCCAGGGCTAATTCTGTGAGTAGCCGTGTCAAAGAATTTCCACACTCCAAGGAAAAAGAAGTGTGACTACCTGACTAAGGAGCTTTGGCTTATCAATAGTTGCAAAAGTTATCTCATGCATTGGCCTGCAAGATTCAGAACAGAGAGAACAATGAGTTAACAGAGAATATAACTTCTCAAATTGTTTGCATATCAACAGGCTCTATATGTCCCTAAATATGAGTTTAAGTTTTTTGTACTCGGGAAAAGTGAAGGCCTCCACATGATAATCTATCAGTTTCATGCAATGTCATCAAACCAGAATGAAACAAAAAGCTTAAAGATGCTAGCTACGGCAAGTATCGGCCTTTTTGGAGATGCTTCCACCCCTAACCAAGATTCATATATATATCAAACTTAAGAAAGTGTGGATTTTCTTGTATTCAAGGAAAATAGTATATATCCACATATTAAGATCAGTGTTTTTAAAGAAAAGGCACGTTAAGACATATATGGAGCCGATTCGCAGCAAAGCATTAGAGCTTACTGTCTACTGCTCTCATTTTTTTTAATAAAGGAAAAAATGCATTCTTCGAAAGGTAAATACCACCACAATTTAGCCATGTTAGCCATTTGTAAAACTGCAACTCCGAAATATCAGAAACAGTCTATTGGGGGTCCAGAAGGGTGATTTTATTCATATTATACATCCTGAAATGCTAAACAAATAAGGAAAGAAAAAACCGAAAATCCAGCATCGCATAGGAGGAAATTGTTTACCTGGAAATGAGATGTACACTGTGATCAGTATCATCACTCATGTCGCAAAGGTGTGTGAACTCCTGGAACAAAAGGATAATAACATCATAAAAAGCATCTTTTCACAATCTTATACTTTGGCATTATCAAACACAGAGAGGTACTTGGTCAGGAAACGATGCACACATTTCTGAACAAAGCGCAAATCAAAATCGACGCGTGTGCAACATGCAACCATGCGATTACAGTGGATCCAATTCCAATGGGTGGATGGATGGATTACTGGATTTATGACCTGCACGACGCGCACGGACAAGGCGGGCCGGCGTTCCGGATCGCGCGCCTCCTCGAGCAGCCGCTGGTGGGTGACCACGTCGTCCACCCTCTCCGCGTTCACATCCAGCGCGTACCTGGGCAAGCGATTTAATCCACAAGCTCATTAGACCATGCTTTAACTAATACCAGCAATTAAAGCTCCTCAATGGAAAAATTAATCACAATGACAACTCCAACACCCTGATACATAAATAAAACCAATTCATCGCCAAACCTTGGAGAGGATTCACTTTTCACCACCATTGTCAATTAAAGTCATATAAAAGAAAACCATTAGCACCCAAAAATGCAAATGCGATGCAAATGCCATGCCTTGTGATGCAATGCCAAGAATAATTCTACAAAGAGAGTATACACCGCTTATACCATAAATGTCTCTCCTTATTTGACAACTTAAGCATCATCCTAGTTATGCCAACAAGAGCCATTACCAAGTTATAAATAAAGAGCAAGGCATATGTAATAACAAAAGTAAGATGGTCATAAATTTATATTGGAACGGATCATATTTGATAAGTTATCATTCTGAAATTTAAGGTGGAGGTGGAATAAAAAGCAAGTTAAAGCTTGTAGCAACCACCGCTACACTACTTGCCTCCCACAGAAGGAGACAACTGCTCTAGGCGTGATCTGAAGCATTACCACCTGTTTTGACACAATAAGATCAGATTATATCCTCAAACAGCCATGTGCATAAACAGCAAGGAAAGCACTCATAAAGCCCAACCGAACAAAGAAGCGACAACGGAGAACAAAGCCTAGTCTAACCGCAGCAGTGTTGTTTCACTTTTTGTATCCTTAAAAATACAAAGGATATGACAACACGCAAATACACCTTAGAAACCTAAGGGAAAAAGCTTACAACTTTATTCAGAACCTCTATTTTTAACATGACCCCAATATCAATAAGGATAGACAAACTGCATTCCTTGTCAACAACATCGATAATGAGCAGCAGTGCTTCTCTTTTTCACATCTATTTTTATACAACAGATTAGATAACCAATAAATATATATTGAGAAACTAGAGTGAATAAACTACAACTTTGGTAGCAAGACAATAATTTTATCAGATCTCTATGGTCACCTAATATACAACTCAAAACAGACCTTCAGAATCTGCCTAACAGCTCATGTACCAATATACAGAAATTCATATCTCCCAAACTATACCATAGAAAAATATGAAATTTTGCTGGCAGTAAGAACTTTTATGCCCCTGCAAGAGACTTCATGGTTGAAAGAGCCAATTCGGCCATTTACTATATGAACAACACCAATGAAACAGACCTACTTGATCTGCCAGGCAAACATGAACAGCCATAATAATCTAGCCGTATCTCGAGTTCTACTCCACCAAAAAATACAAATAAAAACAATATGGAAAGCTTTCAAAGTCCTCTATAACTTCCTAAACTATCTCAAGGATCAATTCCACGCCTAACCGACCCAAAACTCGAGCCCTAGACAAACTGCTGAATCTGCCAGGAACCCACAACTAGAAAACGAGGCTAAACTCCAATCCAACCTCAAAACCTCTAATCCCCGCTGCTAACAACCTCGAAAAACTCTTAATTACAGGGGAGGGGAATGGATTCAACTCTTACCCAAGGCTTCCCCATGAAAATCCGCAGGGGGAGGTTGGGGGAAAACCCCGATCTAACACATCTCCTTGATCCTCTCTTCCTCCTCGATCCGTTTCGCTGCTCCAATTCAAATATTGATGTTGCAATGGAGGGCATCTAGAAAGGGAAGGGAGAAGTGGAGGGAGGAGGGGCTTGCTGAGAGAGGGCTCGTGAGGTTGGGGAAAGGGGGCGGTGCTGGTGTCGGCCAGAAGGAGGGGGCTCGAACAGGGCTAGTTGGATGGCCCTTGGCCCATTTGGGGTCGGGCCCTTTGCCGAGGGCCCAGATAAAGATTTTTTATTTTTTTTTAATTTTCTTTACTGAGGGTCATTGGCCAGGCTTTCGGTAAAGATCCCCTTTGCCGAGGGTCAGGCTAGGCCCTCGGCAAAGTTTTTTTTTTTTTTGTTTTTTGAACCTAGTTTTTTTGTGGTGCTATAATACATTATTGAAAACTCAATTTTAAAATTTGGGCCAATTTTGACTTTTTTGATATATTTTCCTACTTTATTTCTTTTCGTTGATTTTTTTTCGAATATTTCAAATTTGAATTGCAGTTGGATGGAATAATGCAATTTAGTGATTCGAAAAATGTTATTCATGATATTTGGTGTATGTTGAGTCCCTATCCACGAACTCACATCAAATTTCGGACATCTTCTTCACGTAACATGACGAGGAACTTGTCGGAAAAGTGTTTTTAAATTATATAAAATCCATACGAAGTCCAAAAATCACGAAACTTGTCGAGGTGTCATGTTATCACATGTGTAGGCTGTGGTAAAAAATTAAGAAGATTTCGAGCAAGTTGTCACGTCGAATGCATAAAACTCAGACATCTCCACATGTGATCGCATGTGATCACATGTGGAGATGTCTGGGTTTCAGGCATCCGACGTCGTAACTCGCTCGAAGCCTTCTCAAATTTTTACCACAGCCTACACATGCGATAACATGACATCTCGCCAAGTTTCGTGATTTTCGGACTTCGTATGGATTTTATATAATTTTAAAACACTTTTCCGGCAAGTCGGTCGTCATGTTACGCGAACAAGATGCGTGAAAATTTGATGCGAGTTCGTGGATAGGGACTCAACATGCACCAATTAACATGAATAACATTTTTCGAAACACTACATTGCAATATTCCATGCACCTGCAGTTCAAATTTGACATATTCGAAAAAAATCAAAGAATTGAAATAAATTAAGGAAATATACAAAACAAAATCAAAATTGGCATAAATTTTAAAATTGAGTTCAAAACAATGTATTGTAGCACCACAAAAAAACTGAGCTAAAAAACCAAAAAAAAATTTGCCGAGGGCTCTTTGCCGAGGGCCTAGTCCGTGGCCCTCGGCAAAGAATTTAAAAAAAAAATAAAAAATCTTTGCCGTGGGCCTAGCCTCGGGCCCTCGGCAAAGGCAATTTATAAAAAAAAAATTTGGCCAAAAAACTGGTTAAAAAAATCTTTGCCGAGGGCCTGGTCTAGAGCCCTCGGCAAAGACTTAAATTTTTTTTTTATCGAATAACCTGGTTTCACAGGAAAAAAAACCTTTGCCGAGGGCCTAACGGGTGGTCCTCGGCAAAGCTTGACGGGGAATGGCCACCGTGACCCAACGGGCCTAATTTGCCGAGGGCATCTTTGCCGAGGCCCGCGGCCCTCGGCAAAGATTTGATTTGTCGTGGGCCTGTCTTTGCCGAGGGCCGTACCCTCGGCAAAGGCCTCTTTGCCGAGGGCTCCTGTGGCTGGCCCTCGGCAAAGAGTGTCTTTGCCGAGTGCCCGAGATTTGGCTCTCGGCAAAGCCTCAGGCCCTCGGCAAAGCACGCGTTTCTAGTAGTGCCCTCCCCCCCCTCATGGGTAGTTTTCTTACCATATCATATATCACTTCATTTTGCCTAAACTTTGGTTGACTAGTTGGTGTCTTTTAATACCCTATCCATTATATTATTAGAGGCTTGTAGTAGTTGTGTAGTTGGTCCATGTGTGATTGTAGTTGGCAGTTTTAGTACCACCTTAAAATTTAAGAAGGTGGAGGATGACTTGTATTCCTTGTCGTTCCAAACATAATACCTTAGAGTTAACTCTTTTGCACGAAGCGAGGCAGAAAGAGTAAGAGATGTGCTATATGCATGTGCAGTCTCATTCCATGTGAGGATCGAAGTTGGGGCATAAGCTAATTTTCGATGCATGGTGTCACATGTCTAAATGATTTTGAATTTAAATGTCATAAATTACGAATCCACAAATCCTACAGGGGGCTACAATTTATATATGAACATTTCTTCATCTAAAATTTGTATGAATACTTCCTAAACTTCTCTATGCCTCGTGCAAATCAATAATTGTTTTCTTTGTTTCAATATTAACAAATATCTGCATTATGTATATTAAAATGTACTATAGTTAATTTATCTAATTTATTTTTCATTCCTTGTTACGTTCAACTTGAATTGAGTTGACCTACGTCAGTCTAATCCTTCATTTTGTAAAGCTAATAAAGATGCTTATTAATTGTAAACCATATTAGATTTTAAAGGAAAGTCGAAATACAAAAGTAATGTCACAGAATGGTTCTAATTCACAACACCATGTGGTATATAACACTATAACAATACATCAACTAGTTGTTTGGTCTCTTAATACCCTTGTGCAGATTTCTCATTATTGCTTCCATTTTGTTTGTGGAGCCCAAGGTGTACAAAATATGTTGATGAGGCATATCATGATGCTCATTTTGAAGAAGATGAAGCTTATGGAGATAACAAAAACAATGATGCCACTGATGAGGGTGAATACTTGCTTGTGAATAGGCATACTGCAATCCCACTGTGCGATGCCCTTCCAATGCCACCCTTGTAATGCAGCTCTTTGCAGCCCCATCCTCTCAGTGCAGCCCTACCAATGAAGGCCCTGCAGTGCAGCCTAGTATAGCCCCACAAGTCTAGTCTCATCAGTGTAGCTAGCCTCACCGATGCAGCCCCTACAATGCAGCCCCATGCAACCAAACCAACACCCAAGGAAGCTAAACCCGGACAGCCCTAAATAGCCAAATCGGCACAACAAATGAATGTCGATCCCCCTCGCACTCATTCCCATGATCAACTTGTAATGTTCTCATCCATCCTACAAAGTTTCTAATCATATATAATTGGATTATTTGCTTTATCATTAATTCAATTCTCACAAATGCCTTACTTGCTTTAGATTTGAAGGGATGTGATATTATATGAAGTGGTGAGATCTGATGCACTTGCAACTAAGGAACAATTCCTTCAATGAATCCTAAAACCACTCTTGGAGGTGTAGCTCTTGGAAAGCATTACTGTGAAGTTATTGTGAATGTAGTGCTCAAAAGGGATGCAATTCTGCCTCGCCCTTATCCTGGTGTGGAGATGATGGCCGATGCTTATTATGAGTTGTCAATTGCATGGCCATATGAGAGAGTGGTAAACTGTCCTAGTCATTGTTTCCTATTTTCTCATATGTGATTAGTGACCAGACTTCTAATTAGTGATATTTGTGATTTGTGATAGATGAAGGTTAGCAAGCATCAATATCATCTCATGCTACTTTAGGTGTGTTATTCTCAGTTCACTTGTCTCTTTGTAAATTTCATTTCA